CCGGGTACCGCATGATGTCATGCGGTACCCGGAACGAAATGGACCAATCCCGAAGAGCTATGGCCACACCAGCAGCGGCGTGTTCCTCCTCCAGAGGTTCGAAGAACCGGCATTTCACAGACGAAAGCTTCCAAAACATTGCCCAGTTTGAGGCCGGATATGCACAGCTTGTTTGGACCGTTTGGAGCAGGGGAAGATCTGGGTATACAACCTGTAAGTTTGCATTGTTATTTGTGTATTTATCAAACAAGACTGTTTAAATGTGTAAACTGTGTTGGACTGCTAAGCCATTGACACAGTGCTAACTAAGTTGCTAGAGTTTCCATATATCAACTCTAATATCAGCAGATGGCCTTGCATACATGTATCTCATAGCAGGAGAATGTCTGCATTCACACACAAAATACCTATTGACAGTATACTCCGGGTGATTTGCCGGTCAGTCGCGAAACGTAATTACATTATAGCTGGCGTAGCGATCTAACACACGGAGCTAGAGCTAGTTTCGGTCAGAAAAACATTTTTGTGATGCTACGTTGCTAGCGTTTAAATATATCAACTACAATGTCAGCAGATGGCCTTACATGTTTGTCATGGCAGGAGAATGTCTGCAGTCACACACACGGAATACTCATACAGTATACTGTACTGTGATTTACCGTACATTGTGACCGTACATATACTGCATGTAGCTAACGAGGCTAGCTGTATGCTAGCGCAAAACAATGTATTCATGCAAGTTGCATTGTATGGTAGCAGAATACCCGTATACGATTGCAATTATAAACACGTTATTGCTAGCCTAATATGAACCACTAGCTTTTGTTCATAGTAGTTTTATTACACTGCATTATAGTTGCCTTTCCTCCAAGCTAACGTTCATATCGTGTTAGCTACCAAGGTAAATAAAGCTAGGTTAGCATATTAGCAGGCAAGCTGTTCATTACACAACTACTACTAACTAATCTAAAACAACTAAGTTTCTCTAATATTTTGTGATTTGCATTTGATTTCGTCCAGCCAGATCCTGGCGGACAATCCATGACGGGGAAGGGATTCTACTACTACTGAGGGTGCTAAAAGGCACCGCACCGACTGTGCGCAGGCAAGATGCGAGGAGGAGGAATGGATGATATACCGTGTGTATATATGTATATTTATGTTCATTTTGTACATTTCTAAAAATAAAGTTTAATGGAAATACTTAGTAGGCCTATCCTTTCTTCCCTGAATTCATATATAGCAAACCATGATTTGATTTCTCATCAAACAGTAGTAGTTTATAACGGGTAAAAATAACTTACTCTTTGTTATGAGAGTAGCTCGTAGGCCACAACGGAAAGACAAGGAGACATACACGAGTTTACAAAACCACGGCACATTTATTGTGGTAAATGCAAAGATAGGTGGTTGAGAGGATCGCAGAGTTAGTCTTCCTGCAGCCGCTTTGGAGAGAGACTGTGTCCGGAGGTGTCCGTGATCGTGCTGATTAGCCTCTTCAGCTCCACCCCATCGTAAGACAAAAGCCCTGGGGCCGTCACACTCTTCTATAACAACAGTTAAAAATATATATGTATATAAAATATACCGCTGTACCGACGCCATGATAAGACTGATGTTACGCTGAGAGCAGCCGGGAAAAGCACTGACATGGGCGCAGCCTCTCTGGTGGTTGACTAATCAGAACGAGTGGCCGAGCTGACCAATCGGAGCACACTAGGCTCACAGGGAGGGGGGGGCAAGAGCTCCAACGAGTCGTTTAGTGGAGAAAGTGAATACTGCTGAATACACATGCTTGACAGAGATGCTGTATGCGAAACCAATGTGAGTTTGGAAAATTGCACAGTATAAATCTATTTTAGTATACCTCAACAATGTAATTATGATCAGTGGAAATGGCCATGACATGGGCCCTTTAAGTAATCACACAACTGTTTTGCGACTGCTTTCTCAAGAATGTTTGAGAGGAACGGAAGATTAGAAATAGGTCTATAATTGGCTAAAACCTCTGGATCTATCTAATAATATGTTCCCTATTTTAAAGTGAAGTCTTGTTCATTACCAATAACATAGTAGTTTGACTCTAATTGACCTGAACAGGTTCCCTATTCTAAAGTTGCCTCCTCTTCACACTTTGTAAATACATTATAGCACACACCTACTGAAATGAACCTCAACAGTACATGAACAAAGTAGGCACACGTTGAAATATCTGTTTTATTAATGAACCACTAAAGAGAGGTTCAGACACATACATACATGTCAAGTTTCTCCAAGGCTGAGAACACATATATATATATATATATATATAGCCTGTACTTTTTAATACAAACAGATTTTTAACAGAGTTTATATATTTGTGATCATACTGTGTGACCTGCTTGTATGTAGTGAAAGGTGGTTATTGTGTTTTTGACAAAACTAACAGTGTGTGTAATCATGCCATACTTTTGAAAAGGGTCAATAAATGTTCAGTACACATTTTACAAAAAAGTAAATGTGCAAATATGAATACATTGCAAATATTTCCTTCAAGAAAAAGTCAAAATTCTGAGGTTTTCTGAAAAAGCCATAATATAGACATTTCTGAAAAATACATAAAAGTTTCAAAATTCAGCAATTTGGAGAAAAACGTGATTAATCTGAGTTTTCCAGAAAAAAGTCATAATTCTGAAAAACAAAGTCAGAATGTTGAGATTTTCTTAAAAATTCAGCATTTTAGAAAAAGTTAAAATGTTGGGAAAAAGTCCAAATTTTGTGAATATTATTGTAGAGATTCTATTTATTGTCGAGAGGAAGATGAGGCACACGAGACCCAACGAGCTGAAGGCCGCTAGTGAAGCAACCTTTCTTTTTCACATTTCTTTCACATCCGGTGAAACTGGTGGCACGGCACTGCTGCGACCCGGGCTCCTGTCGTGTGCTGCAGTTTTTATGTCTGGTTAAACGTTTCGTCCTTAATTTAAACCACACGCTTTAATCAAGAGACTGTGTGTTGGAACAATTGCAAAACTTTTACTGGCACTTTTTATCCTTGAACCTTTTCAACCATGCCAAACATTACGGGGAGGAAACAACTTGGCCCTGTCATACACCAGAGACGCAAGCTTCCCACCCCCCGACCTGCCGGAGGACATGCGATCTCAAATCACTGACTGTGTTCACCAGCAGCTACTACACACTCCTGACATGCCGGTTTTTATTTTAGGGGACTTTAATCATTGCAAACTTGAACTGTCACTACCCGGTTTTCAACAATACGTTACATGTGAGACCCGGGAGGATACAATTCTAGACAAATGTTACGGAAATGTGAACAACGCATATGTGAGTAAAGCCAAACCCCCGCTTTCCGACTTGGATCATAACACTGTTTATCTAATACCTACCTACAAAAAGGTTCTCAAGCGTAGTAAACCACAGACCAAGACTGTAAAGGTTTGGACTAGTGACAGCATAGAGTCTCTTAAAGGATATTTTCTCTCTACTGAGTGGAGTATCTTTCATGAGATGGACGTGGATAATGCTACTGAGACGGTAACTGACTATAAAATTCTGAGTTGACAATGTGATACCTCAAAGAAATAACTGTGTACCCCAACAACAAACCATACATAACTAAAGAGGTTAAGGACTGCATCAATCGTAAAAATATAGCTTTTAAAAACCGGGATAAAACGCAACTGAAATGTGTGCAAAATGAGCTTAACCACATGCTCAGAGAAGCTAGAAGGAGACGTAAAGAAATGATTGAACAGAACTTTTCTCCGCCCTCTATGGTAGAGGCAGAGCTGGAATATGACGGGGGATCAACACCAATCTCCCGGGGGGAAGTCACTGATGTAGTCAAGCAACTCCACAGTGGCAAAGCCCCGGGGGTGGATGAGATGCTGAAGGCTCTGGGTGTTGAGGGACTGTCATGGTTGACACGTCTCATCAACATTGCGTGGAAGTCGGAAATAGTACCGAAGGAGTGGCAGACCGGGGTGGTGGTTCCCCTCAGAGGGTGTGTGCCAATTATAGACTATAAGTACTGTTTTTCTTTTTTAGACGGACACAATAATTTAATTTTCTTTACTATGTTCAATCTGCATTTACTTTAAAATAAAAAACATCTATATTGATTCTGACTTTTCTACATCCAACTCACAGGTTTATCATTACTTTGAGAAAAAAGATTATTAATTTACCCCTTTTAGAAGGGAAGATACGATCATTTGTTCTGGGAATGTCATTTTCGAGCCTGAGACCTGAAAAACAGGCTCAGGGCTAAACAGGTTAATGCACAAAGGCAGCAGTTCATCGGCTTACACTCTGCAATAGAGAGATTTGTGCCGCATTGATGCAGTTATTCATGCTAAAGGAGGTCCAACCAAGTACTGAATGCAGACACATTAACATGCTTTTCAGAAGGACAGCATTTCTATATTAAAAAATCTCTTTTGTATTGGTCTTATGTATTATTAAAATGTTCTGGGATGCTGAATTTTGGCTTTCATTTAATCATCAAGATTAAAACAAATAAACGCTGGAAATAATTCACCTTGTATCTGATGAATCTATGTGATGTATGAGTTTAAACTTTATAAATTGAATTACTGATATAAACTCACTTTTCCATGATATCCAATTTATTGAGATGCACCTGTATGAGTCCAAGTACAGGTTTAGCAAGGCGGTGAGAGATGCTAAACGACTACTCTGAGAAACTCCAACACCAGTTCTCAGCTAACGACTCTGCAGACAGGTCACAAACTGTAAGGCTAAGCCCTCACACTCCGTGAACGGCCGACGCCTTGCTAAGCGTCAGTGAAACTACGTTTTAGATCAGCTACCGTACTAACTCACCTGTTGTCCTGAAACTCTCCAGGGCATCTGGAAAAGCATTTAAAATATGGATTGGATAAGGGCTGCAAAGTTAAAGAAGTTTTACTCGTGGTAAGATTTTAAATTCTAATACTCTAGAGTTTCTCTGAATATGTGTTTCCTGTTTCCTGCAGATGTCCAGCAGCTGGTGGTGGTTAAAGAAGAGGTTCCCCCTGAGCAGCAGGAGTGGAGCTCCAGTCTGGACCAGGAGGACCCAGAGCCCCCCCCACACATTAAAGAGGAACAGGAGGAACTCTGGAGCAGTCAGGAGGGAGAGCAGCTTCAAGGGCTGGAGGAGGCTGATATCACCAAGTCCACATTCACTTCTGTCCCTGTGAAGAGTGAAGATGATGAAGAGAAACCTCAGTCCTCTCAGCTTCATCAAAGACAAACTGAACACCTGGAAACAGAAGCTGATGGAGAGGACTGTGGAGGACCAGAACCAGCCAGGAACTCAGATCCAGAGAGACATTTACAACCAGAGACTGATGACAACCCTGGAGACTCTTCTGAACCTGACACTGAAGACAGTGGAGATTGGAAGAAGACCAGAGAACCAGGTTCAAAGTCTCAGAGAAATAAACAAGACCCTGTCAGTGATTCAAGACGTAGTGCAGGAGAGAAACCATTTGGCTGCTCTTTGTGTGAGAAAACATTTACACAGAGAGGAAATTTTAATCGGCACATGAGAATCCACACAGGAGAGAAAACATTTGGCTGCTCTTTGTGTGGGAAAGAAATTCGCAGCAAGTCAAATCTAAAAGTACACATGAGAATCCACACAGGAGAGAAACCATTCATCTGCACAATTTGTAAGAAATCTTTTGCAGATAGAGGAGATTTAAAGAAACACATGAGAATCCACACAGGAGAGAAACGATACAGCTGCAGTATTTGTGACAAAAGATTCACCTGGAGTTGCCAGGTCAAAAGACATAAGTGTGTTGGTCGTCAGTCCTCACAGCTTCATCAAACTCAAACTGAGGAGAACAGAGAGGCAGAGCCTCCAGCCAGCAGCTCAGCTGAACACCTGGAAACAGAAGCTGATGGAGAGGACTGTGGAGGACCAGAACCAGCCAGGAACTCAGATCCAGAGAGACATTTACAACCAGAGACTGAGGACAACCCTGGAGACTCTTCTGAACCTGACACTGAAGACAGGGCTGATTGGAAGGAGACCAGAGAACCAGGTTCAAACTCTCAGAGAAATAAACAAAACTCTGTCAGTGATTCAAGACGTAGTGCAGGAGAAAAAACATTCAACTGCTCTTTGTGTGAGAAAACATTTACACGGAGAGGACATTTAAATCGGCACATGAGAATCCACACAAGAGAGAAAACATTTGGTTGCTCAGTTAGTGAGAAATCCTTTCCAAATAGAGGACATTTCCGTCAACACATGAAAATCCACACACGAGTGAAACCATTTAGTTGCTCAGTCTGTGAGAAATCCTTTCTTAATAGAGGACATTTAAATCAGCACATGAGAATCCACACAAGAAAGAAACCATTTAGTTGCTCAGTCTGTGAGAAATCCTTTCCAAATAGAGGAAATTTAAATCGGCACATGAGAATCCACACAGGAGTGAAACCATTTAGTTGCTCAGTCTGTGAGAAATCCTTTCTTAATAGAGGACATTTAGAGAGACACATTAGAGTTCACACAAGAGAGAAACCATTCAGCTGCTCAGTCTGTGAGAAATCTTTTTCACAGAATGCAGATTTAAAGTGCCACATGAGAATACACACAGGAGAGAAACCATTCAGCTGCAGTGTTTGTGACAAAAGATTCACCTGGAGTTGCCAGGTCAAAAGCCATAACTGTGTTGGTCGTCAGCCAAACCAAACCTGGAGACTCTTCAGAACCTGACACTGGAGACAGTGATTATTGTTAGGTTTAAACTCTTTGAGTTGGTCCCAGTAAGTGTGTATAACGTGATACCTGCTCTGAGTGTGATAAAACATCATTGCTCTAAGTCAAGTCTGAATGTGCATTAAAACAAATAATAAGCACAGAAACAAGTCCATTGTGCTCTAATGACACAAAAGTAACCATCACTGACAGAGAACCAGAGCCAGCCAAGAACATGACTTTAGCTTCTCCTTACCCTGAAATCAGTGGTGATTGGAAAGATCTGTTAGTCCGGTTAAACACTCTAAAGAATCACAAAGTTCGTATAAGTGAAAGAAGATGCTATATAATACTAGCAAGCTACCAGTTCAGTGATCTGAGTGTGGGAAAATATTACGCCTGAAAGACATTCTGAAGAGACGTGAGAATTCACATGGGAGAAGCCATTTGGTTGCTCAGTTTGTGACCAAAAACATAGACATAAAAACCAAAGTGAATCTCCCTTTGAACAAGAAAAAGCAACGGCTGATTTCTTATCGTTTAGTTGATATCACGAGCTAATGTGAGTTCACATTTCATCCTGATGCTTTTGAAGAATCTTTGTTAATAAAGTGAACTCTTTTTGAAAAGGAAGGACTCGCTGTGTTGAAACTTCTTCCTGCTGTGTCCCACAATCTGTTCAGCTGGGATCCGGCTCTGACCCGAAACACCAACACTATCTTACATTGCTGTTGGCGGCCCGCACTGTAGCTCCTGGTGCACCACCACTTATTGCTATTTAGCTAATAAACCTTAGCTATTGTTTAACCCCCTGTGGTCAGACAGTGCGGACCTGTGTCTACGTTCAGGCAGTGAGGGGAATTATGAAAAGATTGTTGTTGTGTTTTTTTAAGCAGACCCGGCAGCAGCTCCAAACAACTGTGACAACTTAACAGTTCAGTTAAAAGCTTAAAAACTGTTTATTTTGTCAGTAAAGTTTGATAGAGCTGGCGAGGCTATGCAAAGTAATAGCAATTACATTTAAACAGGAAGTACCAAGACATGTGGAAATCTGCTTGAAATTATTTATTTATTAATTACCTATTTTTGCCGTTGATTTCCATCCAGTGCTTATGTATAATTATCAATGTATTTAATATCAGTTATTATAGTATCATATGCCAAATAAACACATTTTATAATAACATAAAGGATCACCCTTACCTTATTTATTTAACAATGTTTGCTCTTTGTTCTTATGAATAATTATGAGTTACATTTTCAAAATATGCCAAAATAAAGGTAGTACTAACCCAATTCACACATCTATATTCTGTGTTATGATGTTATGTTAATCTGGCAGTGAATCATTATTTAAATTAGTAGACGCTACATCAGATACCCCTCTCTGCAGCTTTAAATGTGGTCTACTTATTTTATACTTGAAGGGGACCTATCATGCAAAATGCACTTTTTTATGGCTTTTCTACATCAACATGTGTCCCCGGTGTGTCAGGGAACTCACGCAGCGTCAGAAAACAAAACCCTCTCTCTTTTCCTCCGTACCCAAATCTCTAAAAACGGGGGAACAACGGAGCTGATCCAGATTTGTGTCCGATATGACGTAATATCTGAAATGTGGACCCACGGCCCTATCAGAAACGTTGCTATCAGAAACAATGCCCGACTGTTTTGGACGTAATATGGTCGGTGTTTACATTAGCATCGCTAACACTCAGAGCTAACCTGTACTGGAGAGCATGTGTGTGAAGAAGCAGGAAATAAAAAGGAACTCACCTTGTGGTATAACCGGCAAGAGAGAAAGCCTTTGAGCTCCATACTGTTTCAGAAATAATCCTTGATAATCCATGATATGGCGTTTCATCACGGCAGTATTTAGTTTAGACAGTAGCTGCCGGGTCCCGCATGAGCTCAGACCCCTCCTTGTTTATTCATCAAATTTATTTTTTAAAGCTTTATTTATACCCCAAATCAGCACTGTTGAAACAGGAAGTGAAACAGAGGGATATGAGGCATGGCTAGAATGGGTGATCTGTTTGGTATTTTGAGCAAAACACTTCATAGACATGTTTTTATATATTTTTGTATATATCTGAGAGCTATGCTATTGCCTAAAGATAGCATGATAGGTGACCTTTAAATAGTTTATTATTTAAAAAATATATATATTTAAAAAAACGTAATCAATTAATTAACACTATAACTAAATAAATTAATAATAAATATGTATATAAACTACAACTATATGTATATAAAATAAATATAAGATATAGACAGACACTCCAATTAAATATACAAACATTAAAACAATATAAACACAAATATTAAGATACAAAAATGTTTAAAAAATAAAGACACTGAAAATGTTCTTTTAAATGAATATATAAAAACTAAATATTTAAAAACTACATGATGTAAACATGCAGACTCACCTGTGCTCCAGGTGCCAGCAGTGACAGAGGTGCTGGAGCTGGACGTGAAGCTGGGTTACAAAACATACGGCAGTTATTAGACTGAAAAAGACTCACACTGGTTCCTCACTAACACTAAGAAAGTGGATCAGTCCAGTTCTGAAGTCTTTACACTGGTTCCTCACTAACACTCAGAAAGTGGATCAGTCCAGTTCTGAAGTCTTTACACTGGTTCCTCACTAACACTAAGAAAGTGGATCAGTCCTGTTTTGAAGTCTTTACACTGGTTCCTCATTGACACTCAGAAAGTGGATCAGTCCTGTTCTGAAGTCTTTACACTGGTTCCTCACTGACACTCAGAAAGTGGATCAGTCCAGTTCTGAAGTCTTTACACTGGTTCCTCACTGACACTAAGAAAGTGGATCAGTCCTGTTCTGAAGTCTTTACACTGGTTCCTCACTGACACTAAGAAAGTGGATCAGTCCAGTTCTGAAGTCTTTACACTGGTTCCTCACTAACACTAAGAAAGTGGATCAGTCCTGTTCTGAAGTCTTTACACTGGTTCCTCACTAACACTAAGAAAGTGGATCAGTCCAGTTCTGAGGTCTTTACACTGGTTCCTCACTAACACTCAGAAAGTGGATCAGTCCAGTTCTGAAGTCTTTACACTGGTTCCTCACTAACACTAAGAAAGAGGATCAGTCCAGTTCTGAAGTCTTTACACTGGTTCCTCACTAACACTAAGAAAGTGGATCAGTCCAGTTCTGAAGTCTTTACACTGGTTCCTCACTAACACTCAGAAAGTGGATCAGTCCAGTTCTGAAGTCTTTACACTGGTTCCTCACTGACACTCAGAAAGTGGATCAGTCCAGTTCTGAAGTCTTTACACTGGTTCCTCACTAACACCAAGAAAGAGGATCAGTCCAGTTCTGAAGTCTTTACACTGGTTCCTCACTAACACTCAGAAAGTGGATCAGTCCTGTTCTGAAGTCTTTACACTGGTTCCTCACTAACACTAAGAAAGTGGATCAGTCCTGTTCTGAAGTCTTTACACTGGTTCCTCACTGACACTCAGAAAGTGGATCAGTCCTGTTCTGAAGTCTTTACACTGGTTCCTCACTAACACTAAGAAAGTGGATCAGTCCTGTTCTGAAGTCTTTACACTGGTTCCTCACTAACACTAAGAAAGTGGATCAGTCCTGTTCTGAAGTCTTTACACTGGTTCCTCACTAACACTAAGAAAGTGGATCAGTCCTGTTCTGAAGTCTTTACACTGGCTTCCTGTCTGTCAAATAATTGATTTCTAAATACTGCTGCTGGTTTATAAAGCATTTAATGGTTTAGGCCCTAAATACATTTCTGACCTCCTGCTAAATGATGAACCATGCAGATCTCTCAGGTCTTCTGGTCTGCTTTCTGTCCCCAGAGTCAGAACTAGTGTTAATTTTGTTGACTAAAACTATGACGAAATATGTTCGTCAACGACCTTTTTTTCCATGACTAAAACGAGACGATGACGAGACAGCACGGACGGCAGTAAACAATAACTGTAACGAAATCATCATGCAATATCGTTGACGAAAAGTGAGGAGACGAAAATGTAGTTTACTAAATAAAAACTATGCCAAAATCTCTCTTTACTTTCATTGACGAAAATGAGGAGACGAAATATTATCAAAGATAACGTTACATCTCTGATAGTCAGTTGTTCTCCCAGCAGTTCCATTTCCGTTGCTGCGGCTGGGCAGCAGCTGTGTGTCTGTGCTGCGCGCGGCGGTACATTTGAATTACACTGGGCAGCGGCACACTGTGAACTGTCAGGAAGACTCGGGTCTAACTCATGAGTCATGGTCTAACAATCTCTATAATCTGTTCTATTTCCAAAGTTCTGGAGAAAATAATTTATAATCAACTGTCACATTTTCTCAACACTTATAATATTTTATCTCTGGTTCAATCTGGCTTCAGGCCTAATCACTCCACAAACCCGTCCTCCGGACCCCCTCCACCCACCCTTTTGGAAGTGTTGGACTTTGTGTTGGACTTTGGAACGTCTTGAATCCGTCCCTTGAGGGGGGGGGGGGTTCTGTCACAATCCTAGTTTTCTGTCACATCTTAGTTGTCTGTCTTGTCATGATTTTATGTTGAAATTCTGTTCTCCCTGTGTCTTGTCTGCCTAGCAGGAAGTGCTCCAAGATACTCTCCTAACGTAAGCTATAGTTTTAGCTGTATAGCGGTTAGTTGGTTGTTTTTTGTTGCTTCCAGTCTGTACGTTTTTTGATTTTTGCCTTTTGGATTAAACGCTTGCCTAAGACCTTTTTTGCCTGGTTGTACTTGTGTTTGATAATCTCTGCTTGACTGGATACTGGTGTCACACTCTGACAGAATCTTAAAAGCTGGTGTCATGTCTGATTGCTTCAGCGATCATTCAATTGTTTATTGCGTATGGAAAATCAAATTAATTAAACTGCCTCCAAAACTAGTCAAAAATTAGACAATATAAAAAATTGAATGTTGATTTATTTATTAATGATGTTGTTGCCCTTAATTGGGACAGATTTCAACTAATACCTTTTGTACAAGATGCTTGGGATTTTCTGCATAAAGAGTTCACTGATGTCATGAACAAACATGCACCTGTGAGAATGGTTAAGGTCAAAGGTCAACATCTCCCTTGGATCAATTCTGAACTCATCAGTCTCTTTAGGGAAAGGGATAAAGCATGGTCGATATATCATTATTCAAGAACTATAGCCGATTGGGAAGTATACAGGCATCTTCGAAATCTGAGTAAAACCAAAACCCGAAATGCTAAATCCAACTACTATAAAGAATCTCTCACATCGGACTTTAAGAATCCCAAGCAATTTTGGACTAAAATTAAATCTATTTTAAGTAAATCAGGTAAACATTCTATTAATATTAATAATAATGTGGGAGGCGTGGGGTGCAGTGGATTGTGCGTTGGTGTTCGGATCAGGGGGTCACAGGTTCAAACCCCACTGCAGTCAGCATGTCGTTGTGTCCCTGAGACACTTCACCCCAAATTGCTCCTGTGGGGATTGTCCACAGTATTGAGTATGTAAGTCGCTTTGGATAAAAGCGTCTAACAAGTGACATGTAATGTAATGTAATAAAATAAGAACTGCTGAAACAATCATTTATGACCCGTTATCCATTGCCCAAATATTTAATCAGCATTTCGCTAATGTATGTTCCACACTATTATCTGACTCCTATTTGTCAACTGGTATTTCTTAACTCATACTGCAACAGTTCTATTTCTTTTAAGAAGATTCTACCACACGAAGTTCATAATGCTATCACAGAATTAAAAGTG